GCATGGACACAGTGGGGCGTGACGGCATCAGCTGTGAGTGCATGGACATGGTGGGGCGTGACGGCATCACCCGTGGGTGTAATCACCACCTCTGGGCAGGTGTGTGCATGTGTCCCTCGTGGGTGCATGGCGAGGGCAGAGTGTGCCTGCATTGCCCAGGGGTGCGTGGCCCAGCTGGTCGTGCACCCCTCGCCCACCCGCGGGGCTCCAGCCGGTGCGTGCGTGGCCCGGGCAGGTCGTGGTATCAGAGTCGAGGTGTGCGTGGCATCGCCCCCACTTGCTGTGGGTGCTGTGCATGCAGGGCACCGGTGTGTGTGGGTGCCAGCGGGGGGACATCCAGCTGCTGGGCAGGCTGGGTTGTTCACAGGGCAAATGCTGCCCGTCCCCTGGATGAAGTCACATATCCAGGCACAGGCTGTGCTGGTGGTGGGAGTCCCCTGCTGCAGCAGGCACCAATGGCCCCATGTCAGCACCGTCTCCTCCTCCTGGCACTGCCAGAGGTGACCCCAGAGGTGCTGGGCGGGCTGTAGGCTGGGGAGCTGGTGCTGAGCTCCTGGTCTCTGCCATCAGCAGAGAGCACTGTTCAGTCGCTGCTCGATTTGGCTGAGGGCCATTTCTCCTCCGGACACAAAGCCCTTGCATGTTCCCTGCGATGCTCCTGGGTGCACATCTGCCTGGTGACCATGGCTCAGCACCCATCTCTCCAGAGGTGCCCAGCCCGGTGCAAGCAGGGATACCTCCTTGTGAAGTGGGGAGTCCCTTCCCATCACAGGCACCGCCTGAGCTGCACTGGGAGCCACCAGAGAGGCAGTGCCCAGCCCACCTGCGGGGCCAGCTCCATACTGGTGCCTTTCCCTGGTGCTGGGGAGAGCTGTGCTGTGCAGCAGCGGCTCTGGGGGTGTGCAGGGCTGCTGTCAGCAGGCAGGTTTGCAAACTCTCAGCAGCTAAGCAAGGCCCTGGAACCCCAGCGTCCTCTCTCTGCTGTCCCTCTTAGGAGGAGTGGCCACTCCACCCTTTGGGGGGTGAGCTGGGTCTGCTTGTCCTCCACGCTGGAGCTCAAAACCCCACAAGCTCTCTGCTCCCTCCCCTGAAGAGCTGGCACCGAGCACAACCCGGCAAGTGTCTCCTATCCAAATATCTGTTTCTTCCTGGGGCTGCTGCAGCAGAGCTGGGTTGGCCCCTGGCCTGAGTGCAGGACCTGCTGAGGTGCAGGACCCACTTGGGTCCTGCTGGGGAGCCATGCCGGAGGCAGCCAGCTCCAGCCGGGCTCTTCTTCTTGCCGCTCACTCACGTTTCACGGGGCTGTGACCCCCGTGGGCTCACATCGCCCTGAGCTCTGCAGTGGGGCAGGCAGCAACCCGAACCTGGCGGCTGGAGTTTCAGAGACAGGGCAGGGCAGCTGAGCTCCTGGGGTCACCTCATCTGCTGTCTGCCCCAGCAGAGCCATCCCCAGGGCACACACGTGTCTCCCTGTGAGCTGAGGTGACAGGGGGAGCTCTGGGTGAGCCGGGCTGTTACCTCCACCCAGCAGTCACCCTCTGTGCCTCTCCCTGTCAGCTCTTGTCCTACGCTGCCGGAGGCTGTAGCCATGACCCTCACCAAAGGCTCCTTCACCTACTCCAGTGGGGAGGAGTACCGCGGCGAGTGGAAGGAAGGTGAGATGGGGTGGGAGGGGATGGTGATGCCTGCACCGGGGGGCTGAACAGCCCCCACGTCCCTGCCCAGCACCACACCAGGGCAGTCCCTGCCTCGGTCCATCCAGCACTGCCTGTTTTCTGCCCTCTCCTAGGTCGCAGGCACGGTGTCGGGCAGCTGACATTTGCCGACGGCACCGCTTATGTGGGGCACTTTGAGAACGGGCTCTTCCATGGCTGCGGCGTGCTCACCTTCTCCGATGGCTCCAGGTGAGCATGGCACCCCCGTGTACACTCCCCTGGGCATCCCCACTTGCCGCAGGGAGCTGCTGCCTCAGGAGCTCCTCCTGTGCAGGTACGAGGGCGAGTTTGTGCAGGGCAAGTTCAACGGTGTTGGCGTCTTCACCCGCTGCGACAACATGACCTTTGAGGGCGAGTTCAAAGGCGGGCGTGTGTATGGTTTTGGTGAGTGCTTAGTGGAACCGTGTGGCAGCCGCAGCCCTGCATGGTCCCAGCTCAGCATGGCCCTGTCCGGCATCTCCTGCTCCATCCCTCTGTCCCCAGCCCCGATGGGTGCTGCTCTCTGCCCCATCACTCCCAGCCCTTCCCTCCCCAGGTCTCCTGACCTTTCCAGACGGCTCCCATGGGGTGCCCCGCAACGAGGGCTTCTTCGAGAACAACAAGCTGCTGCGGCGGGAGAAGTGCCCGGCTGTCATCCAGAGGGCACAGGGCGCCTCCAAGTCTGCCCACAACCTGATGGCGTGACGGTACCCCACACCCCCCTCCTGCCGCAGTGGGGACCCCCACACCGGGCACTGGCTGGCCCCACTTTCCCAGAGCAGGGATGCGGCACGGCTGAGTGGCCCCCCTGCCCTCCGCTTGCCGACCACCCAGCCTTGGTGGGACCGGGGGTCCACACCAAGCCCCCGTGCTGCACCCCTGCCAGTGGAGGGGACGGGGTCCCCCGTTCTCCACCCAAGTGCCCCAGGGCGGCCGTGGTGCCTTCTCTCTCTGGCTGTAGCCCTGGCACCCGCTGGGCAGCCCTTCTGCCCCCTCAGGAAGGCTGCGGACCACCGAGGCTGCCAGCCCTCTGCGGGGGACAGAGTGGAGATGTAGGGGCTGGGCCCCGACCCCACTGCCAGGGTCCCTTGGCCGTGGGCTGCTGGCTGGACCATGCACCCACAAAGGGGCAGCTCCTGGCCCGCTTTGCTACACTGGTCCCAAGGCAGGGTGGGCACCCCAGGCACCCCATGGCCTGCGCCCTCAGCTCTGGGTGACCGGCCATCCCCCGGTGTGCTCTGGGCAGGGTGACATGGTGCCCCCAAAGGACCCAGCCTGCTCTTGGCACCAGCCGATGGGCTGTCCCCCCCTCATCCCTGTGCCAATCCAGCCAACCCACTGCCTAGGGGACATCTGCAGCAGCATCCCTACCAAGGGGGACCAGGAGGTGCCCAGCCTGGCTCGTGTCTGCTGTACACTGGGGGTGGGCAGGAGCGATGGTGAGCCCAGGATGAGGGGCACAAGCAGGGCTATATGAGGTGCCAAGGCTGGAGCAGGGGGGCTGAGGAGAGCGGGCAGGGGTAGGGGTATGACGAGGGGGCAGGCAGGGTGGGCAGGGGCACACAGCTCCTCGTCTTGCCCCCTGTACGCATCCTTCATCTCCCCGCTGTGTGCTCACCTTCCTCCCCAGTGCAGTTTGGCTAGCTGTGGCGTGGGGGTCCCAGCAGCCCTTGCAGCCTGGTGGTGGGCTGCAGAGGCCATGCCCTCCCTGCCGGTCTCTGCCCGCACCAGTGCCGTGCCTTGCCGTGACCCTGCCTTCTGCTGCTGCCTGCAAGGGCCTCAGCTGAGTAAACCACATTGCCAAACACCTGCGCTGTGTCCTTTTTGCCAGGAGCAGGGACCAGGTGGGGGGGGATGCTTGCGCGGGCAGGACTGCACAGTGGGGAAGCAGCAGGTTTATTCCTGGCTCACGGCATGGGGATCCATTCCTTCGCAGGTGGGGATGTAAAGGTGGCCAGGGGGTGCTGGGTGTCCCCCCTACCCGCTCCACCCAGGGCAGCCCTGTCCAGCAGGAAGGAGCGAGATGGGTGGCTTTCTCCTGGCTACATCCCAGTGTCCCCACCACGTCCCCAGCTCCCAGGGTCCCTGGGACCCATGCCTTCCCGGTGTGGACCCATCACAACCAGCCGTTGGCGCTGAAGGAACCCCTTAGCTCTTCAACCTGGGAGGGGCTCAGCGGGGCCAAGGGTGCACGGCAGGGACCCCCATAGTAGCCAAACCACTCCATGGCCTTCTTCAGCCCCGGGATCCCAAACCGGCGGGTGACCTGTGGGAAGGAGGGTGTGAGGTCTTGCTGGCTCCTGTGGGACAGGACAGCATGCTTCGTGGGCTCCTGCACTGGCCCCATGCAGAGCTGCAGGGCTGGGCAGGGTGCAGGGTAGCTGCAGCCCCCCCGTGAAGAGCCCACCATGGGGTGAGGGCGCAGAGCACAGCCACGCAGGGGAGCATCCCTGTGGCATGGTGGGCTCTTTGTGGCAGGAACGGGCCACCCTGCAGTGCTGTGGGGGCCCTGAGGAGGAGCAGCTCTTCCCCACATCACTGCCTATAAATAGCCGGCAAGGTTCCCGCGGGGATCAGGCAGGTGCCCGCTGCCAGCGGACACGCTGTTCCTGGCACAGCGGGGTTGGCATTTCCCACCCCACTGCCTCCAGCCCGGTTCGGCTTGCCAGCTGGGCACTGTGCCATCATGGACCACTGCTCCACCCCCAACAGGACCTCCATCCTTTGCCACCCCCCCAACTCTGCCATGGGCCGGCAACCCCAACCCTCAGCATCCCAGGGGTGATGCCCGCTCACCGCCATGTTGGGCTCGATGAGCCGGTGCTGCAGGTCGCGAGCCTCCTGCCAGCGGCCCTCACGGCACAGGCGGTCCAGCTGGCACAGGGGGGCCCCCAGGACGTTGGCGAGGGCGCAGACGCCCCCGGAGGCACCTGGGGACACCAGAGCATGTTGGCAGCCAGCTCTGCACGCTGTGCCCAGCCAGCACATCCCAGGCACTGCTGCTCACCTGCCTCCCCCTGCCCATCTGCCAGTCCCTGCCAGTGCCCCCAGGGCAGCACCCTGTGCCCCAAGGCCAAGCGGGGGCTGCGGCACCTACCCAGGGCGTAGCTTGCCAGCAAGAAGCCAGCCGATCCCGCCAGCACCTGGAAATCCTCCTGCCGCGTCTTGTGGACCATCAGCCCCATGCGAGTGATCTGGGGAGAGACACGCTGTGCCCCAGGAGTGGCATCACCCTGTCTCCCCCCGTGGGTCTCATGAGGCATCCCCAGGGCACAGGGAAGGGCCACAAGTGGCAGCTCCTCTGTGCCCAGCTCAGGGCCGGGTTTGGTGGCAGCCAGACCCAGGAAAACCTTTCCCCACTCACATCTCCACCGCTGTCCTTGATTCCAACAATGTTGGGGTGCTGAGCCAGAGTGAGGACAGCCTCCACAGCCAGGTCCAGGCCAGTGTTGGCGGGGACGCTGTAGAGCACCACAGGGATGGGGGATGCGTCGGCAACCTGTGGGCAGCCAGACAGCGCTCAGCAGCTGGGGTAGGTGGGAGACACACGGGATGTGCTCCCCATCCCACTGCCCCGGCCAGGGCTGCTGGTGGGCACTGGGCTTGGCTCACCTCCGTGTAGTGCCGGATCAGGGCAGCGCTGGTCATGGCCCCCCGGTAGTAGCAGGGTGTCACGACCAGCGCCATGCTGACTGTCAGCTCGATGGTGGCCTGGGTGGCTGGGGAGGAGGCAAAGGAGGGAGGGAAGCCCCGAGGGGGGGGACATGGCCCCACACTGCCCGCACAGGCACTCACATTCGCAGCCCGAGCCGGCCAGCAGCAGGCGGTCCCTGGGCAGACCCCGGCGCACACAGCTCACCACCTCCAGCCGCTCGCGAGGTGCCAGGTAGGGGTACTCCCCGTTGGAGCCCAGCACCACCAGCCCTAAAACACAAGCGTGAGGAGGCCAGTGCCTGGGCACAGGAGCGGGGTGCCCACGGCATGGCTGTTCCTGCTCTCTCTGCACCCCACTTTTGGATGGGCACCAGGTGCCCAGAGCAGCCTGATGCCAGTGTCCAGCAGCCCCCTTGGGCCAGCAGGCTCCCACAGGTGCCACACGAATCCCTGGGCTCCCCGACAAAGGGAACATGTTGGTATGTGTCCCCCAGATCGCAGTGCTCACCCTCACTGCACTGAGCACCAGAGGTGCCATCCCCTATGCAGGCACCCTCCTGCGTGCCATGCGTGCACCCTGTGGGCTGAACACACCGCCTGCGCACCTCCATCCCCAGAAACCCCACACAGCACCGCCGGCGAAGGATTTATTGGTACCCGCAGCCAGGCTGAGCTGTCCTGTCCCTGGCTGGGACACACAGACCCTTTCCTTGGGACCCTGCCAGCGCCACAGGCACTGACAGGCCAGCTCCAGCCCAGTGCTGCCAGGCTCTGCCGCAGCATCCAGGGCTCCGGGATGCCAGGAGGGTTGGGTGTCCCCATCATCCTCCCTCCCTTCCTTGCTCCTGGGCACCCAGACAGGGCTCGGCAGGCCACAGCGTGCCCTCTCCTGTCCTTGTCCCCTCAGCCAGGCAAGCACACCTATGGGGCGGAGACGGTAGGTGCAAGCTTGCAGCTATGTGCGGAGGATATTGGAAAGCCTGCACACACGCGGAGTGTACGTACAAGCATGCGCTGGAGTGTGGTTGGGGTGTGCAAGGACACACACGTGTGCCTGGGCGCTAAGGGTCCCAGGTGGGTCATCCTCGGGGCCGAGCACCCTCGGGAAGCCGGCAGGCTGCCTGCCCGCTGCCACACACCCCCTGTGGTGGGCAGGGGGCCGGCAGGAGCCTGCCCGGAGAGGGGCAGCGGGCAGCGCTTACCTCGGAAGGGGATGCTGGCATAGCGGCGCAGGTTCCCCTCCAGCTGGGCATAGTCCACCTCCTGCATGGGTGAGAAGGGGGTGGCGAGGGGTGGGAAGATGCCCCCGAGGTTGAGCGTGTGCTCAGATCCGGAGGGAGTGCTGAGCCCCCGGTGCTGCCCGGGGGCTGCCCGGCCCGGGGCTGCCAGGGTGGGCCGGAGGGGAGAGGCGAGGCGGGTGCTGAGCAGCATGGTGGCT